GTTACGCCTATACCTACTAACCATCTCAAACGCCTGTTACGCATGTACCTAATAACCATCTCAAACGCCTATTACGTCTGTACCTACTAACCATGTTAAACGCCTGTTACCCATGTACCTACTAACCATCTCAAACGCCTGTTACCCATGTACCTAATAACCATCTCAAACGCCTGTTACCCATGTACCTACTAACCATCTCAAAGGCCTGTTATACCTGTACCTAGTAACCATCTCAAACGTCCTTATGCCTGTACCTACTAACCATCTCAAACACCTGTTACGCCTGTACCTACTAACCATCGCAAACGCCTCTTACGCATGTACCTAATAACTATCTCAAACACCTGTTACGCCTGTACCTACTAACCATCTCAAACGCTTGTTACGTCTGTAGCTAGTAACCATCGCAAACGCCTGTTACACATGTACCTAATAACCATCTCAAACGCCTATTACGTCTGTACCTACTAACCATGTTAAACGTCTGTTACCCATGTACCTACTAACCATCTCCAACGCCTGTTACCCATGTACCTAATAACCATCTCAAACGCCTGTTACGCCTGTACCTACTAACCATCTCAAACGCCTGTTACGCCTGTACCTACTAACCATCTCAAACGCCTGTTACGCCTGTACCTACTAACCATCTCAAACACCTGTTACGCCTGTACCTAGTAACCATCTCAAACGTCTGTTTCGCATGTACCTACTAACCATCTCAAACGTCTGTTACGCCTGTACCTACTAACCATCTCAAACGCCTGTTACGCTTGTACCTAATAACCATCTCAAACGTCTGTTACGCATGTACCTACTAACCATCTCAAACGCCTGTTACGCCTGTACCTACTAACCATCTCAAACACCTGTTACGCCTGTACCTACTAACCATCTCAAACGCCTGTTTCGCCTGTACCTAGTAACCATCTCAAACGTCTGTTATGCCTGTACCTAATAACCATCTCAAACGTATGTTACGCATCTACCTAATAACCATCTCAAACGTCTGTTACGCATGTACCTACTAACCATCTCAAACGCCTGTTACGCATGTACCTAATAACCATCTCAAACACCTGTTACGCCTGTACCTACTTACCATCTCAAACGCCTGTTACGCATCTATCTAGTAACCATCTCGAACGCCTGTTACGCTTGTACCTACTTACCATCTCAAACGCCTGTTACGTCTTTACCTACTAGTCATCTCAAACGCCTGTTACAAAAGCAGTAAGAAAAACGTGGTCAATAATAGTCTGCTTAGTGAAATCCGTAACTACATTTGTCATTCTACGTTTATGAAGAAAAATGCTTGGTCGCAACTAGTCAAAGATAAGGTAACATATGATCAAATGCAGTTGGTAAATGTACTGCAGACAAGGTTGTCTCTCTCCAGATATCTAACAATAAGATCAGGACGAGAACATAGACTATGGATGGTCGCTTTAAAACGACCTCAGAACTTCACTGACATTGCGAGAATTATAAGGCTTGGTGCAACTCGAATAGAATCAAAGGAATGTCTATGCGGAACAGTTGCTCACGACATTATGAAACATGTTTTTATGTCATGCCAGAATAACTTAGTAGAAAGGAATTCTCTATTTGAAAGAATCTGTGATATTCTTGACATAGACATTTTTGTTAATATGTGGATGGAAGACGATGATGTATTCCTGTCATACCTCCTCGGGGGTATACCTTACCACTGTAAGGATATATGTACTGGATTATAATGTTTGGTCAGAACTGATGGTAATGATTAGTCTCTCTGTTCGCAGTTGGGAGAGCATACTCCTGCAATGTTCGTAAATACCTTCAGTTCTTTACAATTGAATATTACTGTATAATATCAGTACCAATAGTTAGAACCTTTTCTGTGCTGTTGTTTATCACACAAACGTAATCTTCATTTTATGGAGGAAATAAAGAATATCTATCTATCTATCTGTTGGTATGGGAGATCAGAGTTGGGCGTTTTTAATTGTGAACAAATAGAAAGTGGTCACATACCACACTTTACATTTGGAATACACTTTCATCAGTATAGTACATAGAGTGGTAATTGTGTTGAGTTAGGTCCCTTCGAAACCACACTCTAATAGCCAGACATCTAATCGTCAGCACTCAAAGTCAGCCTTCCATCCCATTCTGAGGGACACGGTTTGATTCGGCCTTGTGAACAGGCCCCTCATACCATCGGACCGTGCTAACATTTGATTCTGTTCGGTTATATACAGCCACGATGAAGCTCATTCAACATATAAGTATCGTTACATATTTAACATCTATTTATCTTATCACGAGTTGTCAAGATATTATCCGTGACCGGGAGTTACGCCAGTTCATATACACATTTATGGTATTTTAAAACTCAATAACTGTTTTCTCTTACCCTAAAAAATGTCAAATATTGTTGGATATTCTCGCAACTAAATATCAGCAGAATCTGTGTTCAAGACAAATATAACATTGTGATGACGTAATTCTGAAACAGAATGATATAAGTAATGGTTCTTCCACTAAACGATAACTGTTTTGTTCGCCAAGAACTGTTTGATGTGCCAGTAGGTATGAAATGTGAAGTACATCAGTGTCGAGTGTGTGTGTGTGTTTGTGTATGTGTTTGTGTGTGTTTGTTTTTGTGTGTGTGTGTTTTTGTTGTTGTTTTGCTATTGTTTTGTGTGTGTGTGTGTGTGTGTGTGTGTGTGTGTGTGTGTGTGTGTGTGTGTGTGTGTGTGTGTGTGTGTGTGTGTGTGAGAGATATTGGTTTATGTGTGTAGGTGTAAGCGTAGGTGTGTGTTATAGTGTAGGGGCGTGTGCGTGCCACAGCAAAAATAACTTGGTTACCAGATGGAAAGTGGACTGAAACTTAAGTTTCCACCTAGAATCCAGTGAGTTTCCGTTCTTTTACATTGAGTTTCCGCAATAACGGAAACTCACAATTACCCACTTTCTAAGTGTTTCCGCAAAGCCCCCTATCTCTGGAACATTCTACCACTCACCCTAAAAGAAATAGAATCTGCTGATGCTTTCAAAACTGCCCTCAAAACTCATCTGTTCAAACTCTCTTTTCCATAGACATTGTCTACAATCTTTTTCTCTTCATAGCGCCATTGAGCAATATCTTTTTGGAAATAGGCGCTCTATAAATCAATTATTATTATTATTAAGGTTTCCGTTACCCACTCTCCAACAGGTTTCTGCAAGGTATCCGTTACCCACACCCCAACAGGTTTCCGTTGAGTTTCAGTTAACTTTGAATCCATCAGGTTTCCGCAAGGTTTCAGTTATTAAGACTCCAACGGGTTTCCGCAGACTTTCAGTTACCAACAATCCGACATAGTTTCCGCATAGTTTCAGTTATCAGTTTCAGTTTCAGGTTCACAGATTTTCATATGCGTTTCACAGAGCCAATTGTAAACAGTCTTATATATTCATATAAACTCTTCTTAAAAACAATGCAAGCAATTTGTTATAATCATAACGTTTACATAAAGAACAACAGAATATATAATAAGATTCATTGTTTTATTTTCTCAACATAAATATGAATTAGCATTTAAGGAAAATAAAGATCATACATATAACTAATAATATAGCACTAAAGAACAGAGCAAAACATTTATGAGATAACTCAATCCAGTTTAAGAAATAATCTATCATTTATAACAAAGTAGTAATAACATCAGTTAAACTTTCACTCAGTTATTATTTTGAAATAGCAATTTAGACATGAAATTTATTTCTAAAATCATGCTAATGGTGAAATAATAACATCCAACTTAAAAAACACAGTAATAAAACATAGCTGCATCGGACATTTATTTGCACGCCTTGAAATTCAGCCAGACACTCTCTGTCACAACTATCGCCAAACATCCACTATGATATACATCATACAATAACACAACATACAGCTTGCAATACAAAAATAAAATAAAATAAAAATTACATTATGAAATTGAAAATAAATTCAATCAAATTGCAAGAGTTGGTCAGTTAGTTTAGTAGCCCACTTCGGAGCATTCATCCCTGGGTGGAGATCCCTCTGTTACTTTAGTTGGATGCCTCATCCTTGTCCTCAAGTCCAGTGTCTTCTTGTATGCCCTAAGCTTGCTAGACTCCCAGACAAAGGGGGCGGGATGCAACAAATTGACGTCATCTTCGTCACTCACGACTGGTGATGTCATGTCTATGGTGAGTATTGTCGCTACCTTTTTTTTCGTCTATCTGGCCAATCTATAGATGCAAGGCTGTTTAGGCGCTGTGCAAGCTTCTGAAAATGGCAGGTAATAACAAATTATTAAGTTATTTTAATAAATGACATAAATATCAATCAACAAAAAATGGCCAATGCCGAGGATGATTTAAAATAATTAATCCAAAAGGAAGTTTGAACTAAATAAAAAGAACTTAATTGAGCAATCACACTTTTCACTGGTTTTCCCAAAACTCAAATTATGCAATTCATCACACTTCACTGACTGAATGAAATATCCTGTTTTCTAAAGAGGACACACAATCTATAAAAAAAATTGCTCTGGAGTTACATGCTTCCCAGACCAGAGGTAGTAATATGTATATATATCTGAACGTTTATTGCATTTTCTATATAGTAACAATGGTACTAGTAATAGGTTTTCATCCAATTGCTATATTCAATCTATTACAGTATATCTAAGAATATTCACCCAGTAGAGACTGTATGTTTACACCATTAAGCCTTTGAGGTGCATTTAGAAGTGAATAACACAAGACAATAATGTTTAATAATAACGTCTTTAGTATGTGGAAACACAATGTTTCGGAGTGAATGCTTACACCTGACGAAGGGGTAAGCATTCACTCTGAAACGTGTTTTCACATAAAACTGTATGTTTGTTTTGATTTATGTTTTAACAATATGAAATCAAAGTAAAACGCACTTGTAAACTTCATTAACATCATCAACTCCACTTCCTCTACAATTTAACTGAGATGGAAATATTCAGAATGGGGTCTATATATGGTCTATATATATGCATGCATTGATTTTAGTCAGTCCTCACATATTCACTATTGCTTTTGCATTTTGTAATATGTCTAGGAACAAGTTGAAACCAGTGTTAAAGTACAAGAGTTTTACAGAAGTAAATCAGCTAAGTGCAAACGAACTTAAGGCCTTGTGTGTAAGACATCGCATCTCGAACACCTTGCCAAGGACAGCCCGTGTCATTTTCTTGTGTCACCTTTTAGGTCTTAGTACCATTGGATGTGCTTCACCTGACTGTGGATTTTTGACCATAGGAGAAGAGCGACTTACTGCAGAGCAGATCTTGACACTTCGGAAGCTTTCTCCATTGAACCTTCTCCGTCTCAAGTCGTGGTCTCGTGACATTTCTTCACTCCCTGACATTGACGAGAATGTTGTGAATAAAAACCTCCTTGGATGTAACATTTTAGATAAGAGTCAACTCAAGACATACAAACTTTCTCGTGCATATCAGTTGAAGGACAACATTCATTCAGTGCTTGTGACACAACATCCGGAATATTCTGAATGTTATTGCTCCCAGGCTAGGTGCATTCCCTCGCAGAGCACACAGGCAGACGATGTTAAAGTGCTTCACCTGGTGCTCGACACAGTCACTGGTGACCCCTGTTCTGCATATTGTACTTGTACTGTTGGGTAATTACATATGAATTTCATGTTATTTATTTTTCGTTAGTCTGAGACTATGTAAGAAATAAAGTCCAGGTTGTCATTGCTCATTAAAGATAATGGGTCCAGCAGCTGGACTCTTTTGTTCTGATTATTTTAATTCATGTTAAAAGATTTCAATATTGTGAAAAGTTGGCACAGCTTTGGAGAACCTAATCTGAACTTTTGTGTAGATTTTAATAAGTGTCTGTTCAGGCAGTAATGAGAAACAAGAGAGATTTACAAATGTGCCTTTAGGTATAGGCAGACAGACAGACAGATCTTGTTTCAGTAACTCTAGGCCATAGGCCCATAATACAAAAATGCAGGCACATTGGTACATCGTATTGTACATGCTTAAGTATTAGCACTGTAAATATAAGGAATAAAACATTGTAATATCAGATTTGCTTTCTTACTTTCTTTGTATGACAGTAATTAACATGATATGTTTGTTATCTTCTTGGCAAGTGTATAAGGTAAACTCACATCCAGATATCAAGCTAACAAGTTCTCTGTGACGCTATATATGAAACTAAAACAATTTTCTCTAATATTGTCTAATTTGTCCTGCAGATTCACCCAGGCTTGTGGCCACATCGGAGCTGTGCTGTGACTCTTGGCTAAGTGGCAGGCGCATGGAGTCCTGACGGCCCCTGGTGAAGCTGCCTGTACAGACAGGCTCTGTCCATGGATTGACCCGATACGCCAGTATTAATTTGGTCACTTGTCATTGTTTTAAATTTATGAAATGTTGAAATGGAAATGCTTGTAAAAAGTATTTTAAGCAGTATCATTTTCCTTTTTAAACTTGCTATAGGGTTATAAAGATTTTAAAGTTGTGGATGATTTATTGCTAGATGGGCTTGTTCAGATCTCCCCACGGAGTTGAGATTGACAATACGATGTGACGTTGTGATTGACATCCAGTGATCGAGGGAAACAAATACCAGCGCCTTGGCAAGCACTTGCGTGGATATGTGCGCTCTATAAATATCATATAATAATAATTATGCATTAGACACTGGCAACTTACAGGTTGAATTCTGTTAAATAGTAAAAGGTTGTCTTCTCTTTAATTTCTCCATGGTTAATATAGACATGATCATATTATGTGTCGAAATAAAATTTACATGCATGCTTTTGAGAAGTGTGAGAAGTCCCTCAATCAATAACAAAATATTAACACAAATTCAATGCGCCAATTTTAATATGAATGTTTGGTAATTAGTAATTGTTTACAAATGTTTACGTTTATTTCATTATATTACAGCTGGAACAGTGAAACCCAAGCGGTTCCAGGACATAGGTAACAATGATCTGTGCAACAAGAGGAGGAGAACTGCCTATGATTATGGGTCCACTGGTAATTGGTTTATTCAATAAAGGGGCCACAGGACCATTATACAGTTTCATGAGTCATATCATGAAAGTGGAAAATCTGGAGCGCCATAGCACTGTACAAGATACATCAATAACCATACACTTAATGGGTTGTACAAGTTTTGTTAAGGTAATTGTTACGTTGTTTGAATGCAAGGAACACAAGGATTTAAAATACCTGAATCGTGTGATGTGCAAAGTAATAACAGTTTATGATAAGAAGGATGAGTACAATAGAACTCAGGCAAAATTGTATGTCTGAGATTATAGTAAAAAGGACATTCCAAACACATGTGATATTCTGTCTCAATTACAGGGTGCCGTTCCACTAACCGATCTTAGCCCTATGCCAATCGTAAACCCCTAAAATCCCAATCTTAGTGTGACGTTACGATCGGCATACCGTTCCACTAACCAATCTTACCTAAGTCAATCGTAAAGTTAAGATTCAAAGTCTAAGTTGCTCATGACCAACTTAGGATAGCTAAAATCAATCGTAGAGAAACCAAAATGGTGGCTTTCCTATTCTATGTGAAAAATAAGAGCGAGCATTTCACCGTGAGCGTCCCCTAAAGTCCCCCATGAAATGAATTTGTATATTTCTGTGATGTAAACAAACACTGCGCTGAACAAGCCTTACAAATGTCAGGCCAGTCTGACCACTGTCGTCATGGGAACACAACCGAGCGAGTCGGTGTAACACATTTGTAGAACAATATTGCAACGTCATGGTTAAGAATAGGGACAGCCGTGAAGTGAACAATGTTCTGAAGCAAAAAGATACAAATATGCTTGATTTCACTGCGCATATTTGGTGGGGGATTCAGAAGGCAGGCCGCGTGTTATTCAAGACCACTGACAGATTCTACATACGTTATAGCCCCGTCACGCCTTGTTTATTCTGATTGACAAGGTTCAGGCACATATTAAAAGCTCTGACACAATTGACAGACTTAAAACCTGTTCTCAGTATATTACTTATAATCTCGGCTGTAAATTATAGATCTGTACACAGCGCTTTGAGCATGCCTACTGATGTGGAAAAGGCGCACTATAAATATGCAATTATTATTAATATATTATGCTTGATACCCAGCGTTCTCACGCACTTGCACCTGAAACCAAGGTGCTCAGTACCCTAATATTTTGCTCTAGGTTTTTTCTCCACGTTTACACTTGGTTGGAAAAATACCCATGAAGGACCGTGTTAGAATATTGAACTTCAATAACCCATGCCTGTCGTAAGAGGCCACTAACGGGATCGGGTGGTCAGGCTCGCTGACTTGGTTGACACATGTCATCGGTTCCCAACTGCGCAGATCGATGCGCATGCTGTTGATCACTGGATTGTTTGGTCCAGACTCGATTATTTATAGCTAAGATACATAGCGTTCACTAACATGAACGCTCATGTTAGTGAACGCTATGCATCTTAGCTAGATTATTTACAGACCGCCGCCATATAGCTGGACTATTGCTGAGTGCGGCGTAAATCTAAACTCACTCACTCACTCAGTTGGTTCGTAAACTACTTTGTATCATTTGCTAGACTATGCAAAGGGATAACGCGTGCCTCGCATTCCTCTATCTCTCGCACGAATATTCCTGCAAATTGCACAGTGTGTAATCAGCTAGATGATGTTGCTCATTTTTTCCTGCATTGTCAAAAATATTTAACTCATCGTAAGGCGATGGTGGGATCTTTGACAGCGCTTAATATTGACCTCTCCTTGACTGGATTGTTGTGTACAAGTAATATCACTCGCAATGATGTTCAGAATGTCATTCTTGCTTACATTAAAGCTTGTGGCAGCTTTACTACTTTTAAACATGTATAAACGTAGCAAACCTTTATGATGGGCAAGGTGTAAATGGGCCCAGTTGCCCGAACACCTATGAAACTTTCAATTATCCCTCCATCCATCTCGCACGAAAGAGTCTCGATCTAAGCTTGGATCGGATCGTAAGATCGGGACCGGCTACGATCGGCCTAAGATCGGTTAGTGGAACGGGTGTAACTTTTAGCTAAGGCGATTGTAAAATTGGCGTAACTTGCTAAGATTGATCTTAGATAAGATCGGTTAGTGGAACGGCACCCAGGTATAACACAAAGTGGACATAATCTAGAATTTCTTGTCAGACCAGATTTTCTTCCAGACTCTATCATTAACTGATGGCCTGAACAGCGAAATATACTAAGAGCCTTACGATAAGCTGGTACATCCAGACAAGTTAAATACACCTCTCTCTCAAAAGAAAGTTTAATGTCTCAATATAAATTCAGTTTAGGATAGGAATGAATACGTGTAAACCAAGTTTGTGTATCTATATCAATACATCTATTTCTAAAGGTTCCTATAAAAGATGAAAGGTCTAAGTCTAGTTGTTTTTTCCATACATATCCAAAACCATACTTGTCTAATAGCTGTTTTACTTGTAACGCCCAACAAGGTATTCCAATTTCTGCTAGTCTATATTGATAAAGATAAGCATTTGATAAGATTATATTGTCATTCTGTTGAATCAACCGTACCCAAAAACTGATAATTCGTACAAATTGATTTACTTTCACTGAATAACGTCTTAATTCACCACGAGCTAAACTGTTACCATCGCCATCAGGCCTCTCACCGCTGAGGACGCTAGTGACTTCCGAGCTGGCCTAATCCGGGCAACCAGTCATCTTGGATGGGTTTGCCCTGCGGTCTACGCCCTTGACCCATCCAGGTTTCCCGGCAACGTCCAACCTGGTTCTGCACCATCAAGCCTGTCTCCAACTGCCAGCCTTCATTCTCCGGACCTCGCCTACTCTTCTGAAGTCACCGTCACCAGCCAACCTCTACCTATCGCCTCCCTACCTCACAAACTTTCTCTGATGCAACACATCCCTCTTTCCTGTCTGAAGTTGATGCCTTCAGTTCGTCATTTCCGTATTCTTCATCTGATCTACAGCTCATCCCCTCTCTCACTCTCGGACAAAGTAACAGCCTGGAGTGTTTCCGGCAGAAGTATGGCAGTTTGACCTCCAGCACCTTTGGCCTGATCGTCCGTCATGACAAGAAAGGCGGATCCAGATGTCCTTGTCCGGGAATCATGGGCTATCGACTTGGTGCCAACCCCTATCAGCGCTCCACCTCAGCGCCGAGCTAGACGTATGGACTTCGCTACGAGTCGGTGGCCCGGAACGCCTATGTTTCTCGCCGGAGATTGCAACACAGGTCTCTGGAGGTGAAGGAGACAGGACTTCATGTACACCCGGACTACCCCCACCTCCGAGCCAGCGGATGCCACCCAACAACCATCCTGGAGATCAAGTGTCCGTTTTCATCCAGAGACATCAGTGTCAGGGAAGCAGTACGGACCAGGAAACAAACCTACCTCGAGCTGTTTCCCGACTTTTCTCCGAGGTTGAAGCAGGACACTGATTACTATCATCAGGTGCAGGGTGCCATGGCTGTGGTGAGGGTCAACAAGTGTGACTTCGTCGTGTACACGAAGAAATCAATGGAAATTCTCAGCGTGCCGTTTGACCCAATACTGTGGGAGAGAACTCTTAAGGATCTAAACACATTCTTTGAAATGTATGTTGTCCCAGAAATACTGACTGGTCGAATTGAAGAACTTTTTTACCCGCCCAAGACCACCCAGGCCAGCTGTGTCATCTGCCAGAAAGTGCTGCCTGAGGCAGCTGACATCGCCGTGGACAACAGCAATGCTGCTGTGGCATGTGACTGTTCCTGTGCTTGTGCTACAGCAGACAGCTGGTACCGCTGGTCCTGTGTTGGCTACACAGCTGCCATGGCTGCTGCTGCAGCTGATTGGTTCTGTGCTAGCTGCAGGAACTCTTGTTTATAATGTGAAGTGCTTTTATCTTGAGACACTTACTTTAACTGTGATCCAGATGAACCCTCGCAATGTGTCCTTTATATGCACCACTCAATTCTCTAAGTGTGAGTAGTATATATCCCACTGAGTGGTTATCGATATTAATAATCTTCATTGTTTTTACCAAGCATTTCTATTATGTGAAGTGCGACGTGACATTTCTTATATGTTGTATTCATATGTAACCTGTATCGCCATATAATATGACATCTGCAACATATTTTATACGTGTGTCCTTAATATGTTTGGATTGCACATTTACATGTAGTGACATACATTCCTCTTTGACAAAAAAAAAAAAAGAGGAACAAGAAAATTTGCATAAAAATTAAGATTTATTACTCACTCAATTGGATACACTTGTGGTACTTAGCTTTATTTACATATGAAGTGGGAAAAGAGTTGCTTCATGCATTGTGTAAGTAAATGTCCTGACCATCTCAATACTTGTACATATTTCACTAAACCTTTCTTTTGTCATGGTAAATGATTTCATGTAAATGAAATGTTCACTTATATATTTACAAATTGAACAATATCTGAACAAATGTCATTGAGCACAAATGGTGCATGAGTGACAATGTTTATTAATGTAAACGTGTTCTCGTCACTATATGGCTGGAATAATGCCGACGTGACGTAAAGCCCAACTCAACTCAACTGAATCAGTATGGTCTTAATTAGTTAAGACTGGAAAATATTATGCTTGAAAATCAGAGTATATTTTCAATGTGCCTGTATTATTCCATGATAAAGGAATCAGTGTGAGCATATATACTGTATTTAAAAATGAGACATCATGATGTAACATGTTATATTTGGGATAACGCTTTCTTTCTAAATGGCATTGTGTAATCATCACATCATAATGCTTGTACATTTCTCAATATGTATGTACCATTGGCATGGTAAATGAGCCATAACATTCACCATTATGTGTGGTGTTCACAAAAAGAGATCACATTGGTTGTAAATACAACAATCAACCTCTACTCCAGTGTTGCTACTTTTTCACCCTTCTTTGCCATTACATTGACAAAACACAAGCAATCAATACATTCTTAATCGTTGAAAATAGGTCTTTGCAGATTAACAAGATATGAACAAACTCTGAATGTTTGTTCAATCATTTCCTTTTGGTCAATTCGGATAGGGTTCTCAAGAATGTGGAAAGTCTTGATGCGTTGGATGACGCGTTCGATGTGTATACATGCACTGCTGATTTGCGCTGAGCGCCAAGCTTCAGTAGCAGAGAACTGAAATGTGGCATAATCATCTTAACACCAAGTGAGCGGAGTTCTTCAGTCACAAGGAAACCGCGGTCGGCCATGACACAGGAACCTGGAGCTAGGTTGGACATGAGCTTCTCACTTTTGAGTGTTATGTGTTTGTCTGTAGCTCTTCCTCCCCACGCTGCTGACACAAAATTCACAGCTTGATGTGTACCCATTCCAACTAGAAATTTCATAGTGTCATGGTGTTTGTAGTTGGAAAATGTTTCTTTTCGTGCCCGAAGGTCCATAGAGCGCTGTGAGAGTTCTGTGCAGTCAAGCGTTATTGTCACTTCTGGAAATGGGTCCATACATGGCATTGTCTGCACATGACTGAGATCAACTGCAACCATCTCAAAACAGCCAGTCAACTCGTTGTTCATGAAGTTGATCCAAGTTGTGAAGATTCTTGACAAAGTAGATACACTTACTCCAGTTCCCAAGTGCATGTCTCTTAACTCCATACCACGCTTAAGTCGCACGAGCACAAGAAATAGTTCCTCTTGGAAGTTTAGTGTGTGTTCCTTTCCAGGCTTCTTAGTGGAAGGACGTGTGTTGTTAGATGACTGCTGATGTGTCCAGTAGTTAAGCCTCCCGCCACATCTTCTATGCAGAAACATAGCCAGCACTTCAAAAGTATCGTAGTTTGGTAGATTGGTCATGTAGTGGAAATTCGCATCATTGTCCTTATAGCTGGATAAACAGAGTGTCTTCTTTTTCAGGTTTTCATTCTCGCGTTGAAGATGCTGAATCTGAAATTTCAATTTCTCCATCTCATCGTTGCAGGGAGTCTGATCTATATACGGATAGACGTAGTCAAGGTCCATCCGAGATGGTATGACTTGAGGCTCTTCTTCAGAAGCAGGTGTAGAGTCTTCAGAAGCAGGTGTAGAGTCTTCAGAAGCAGGTGTAGAGTATTCAAGAGCAGGTGTAGAGCATTCAGGAGCAGGTGTAGAGTCTTCTTGCTCTGTGACAGAAGGAGAAGATAGCTTGTCCTCAGTGGCTGTGCTGCATGGAGAAAGAAGTAGGGTGTCAGAGCCGGGAGATGAAGCAGAAGTATCAGGGAAGACACGCTTAGCTGGAGGCGACTTAGCTTTGGATGAAGTCAGGGTGGTTCGTCGCTTGATCGGTTTCTGGCGAGAAGGGAAGATAGTTGGGATGTATCCTGATTTCTTTGGATCATCAGATTTCTTGCCTGTAGAGAAAATGAACTGTTTGAGAGGCATTCTGGGAGTAGGTAGAGACAGAAAAGACGAGTCTTTAAGGATATTGTGTAATAGAAAAGATGAATATCCATATAGACCATATAGTCATTTCTGCAGAGAAAATTAAATTGTATTACCAAATCCATGAAAGAATAGTCAAATTGAAATAACCATTACCTAAACAAAAGTCCATATCAAGACGACTGGAAATGCTAGAAAAAATATTTCCTGCTCTTGTGTGTTGATAAATGCATTCCATTTTTATTCTTATAATCAAGGATACGACATAAAAAAAGTACTTTACGGTAATGGGGTACTGACTTAACCAGTTAACAGTAACATTTTAAACTCGGTACACCAGTTTATTTAAATAAGTATCCGCCTCCTGCGAATATCACCACTACATATATACCCAACGTACAAAATTTTACCTCAAGTTTCATGTAACTTAATTTTCAGCTCCATGTCGTTTAAGTCACTAGGCATAACCAACTCCTTACATGAAAGTATTTGCTATGTAATAATCATAGTTCTGATAATGTGTAATATGCCCAATTGAGTTTCACTTTAAACTTAATTTAATCAGTATTTACAGGGGAAAAAAACTTTTTGCGAGCGAAAATGAGTGTTGTTGAATAAGCAAATTAAGCAATAACAGTCAAATATCAAAATATAACAGTTTTTTCAACATTGTTAATTAACTTATTACATCAAATAAATGCTTAGTTAATTAATTGACCTTGTCTAATTAGCAAGTGCCATTTGAGCATATGTGCGGGCAGGTCAGGTGTTTCATATGTCTGATGATGCAATTTAGTTGATTGACAATGGTCCAGATGGCATGACCATAAATTACTGACAATGTCCAATTCTTATTACTACTGGTTATGTAACAGTCATTGATAGTGAGTTTTATAGATAGACAATTATATGAAAAGTCATTTTGTATTCACATGTACTTACACATGAACTAAAACAGATGTAACAGTTTGCCTCCCCAAATCCTGAAACGCATAGGTAATAAAAAGTACTGTCACTTCCAAATACATATTCCTCTCTGAGCTTCTAAAAACACTTATGCCATCAACAAATTCACAAATAAGAATATGTTAGACAGGTGTACCCGAAGCCTGTCAATTTGTGTTTCAGGCTATACTTACTGTGACTTAGTGATTTATGGAAACGGGGAAAAACATCATCTAAGTTTCAGTATCACTGTAATATCTAATATCTAATTTAATCTACTATATTAACCTTAATAATTAGAACTCCACTCTGTCAGATACTATCCAGATTTTGGACCATTTCCTGGTAAAAGTGCTTGGTTAGTTCTAAGATGTGTGTAAGTTACAGTAACTTCTACTGAATTTCCTACAGACAAGTTAAAACACTGGGAAGTCAAACTGTAAAGGTTTTTAATTATATAACTATTGATACAGTACCTAACATCACAGGTAATATATGGATTATAGGAAAAAAGGCCTTGGTAAAAATGTACCGGAAAAAAAGTCATATTATTGTGAAAACAGATTAAACTGATGTTGACATCAAAGTTATTGTAAACAAAACATAAAGTGCTTGTGTGTAATGATTATAAAGACATTGATTAAAATGCTCGAATTAACCAAGAACAATGATATTTTAACTGAGCAGATCCAATCCAGGATTTAGATTGAGTACTGTTTGTGAAATAAAATGTGATTTTAACAAAGTACTCGACAATTATATTGTGATTTTAGCAGATTGAATCAAAGAACTCGACAAATATAACGTGTCTGGAACGTACATGAGGCAACTCTAGCAGGTGATCCAAGAACACACAATGTATGTGAGGGATGGAACACCAAGTTCTTTGACTTGGTTGGTCACCATCACCCATCCGTGTGGCGAACCATCCAGAAGGCGCAAACAACAGTGAGGACTGTAATTGCTCAGGACATCATCGGCAATATGTGAATAAACCAAAGACTGTTTTCATCAAGATGCAGAAACGTCTGTAGAGATTGTGCATTGACATGTTTCAGGGAGGAAATCAATCCCAGACTTTCTCCATGATGTGGCCACCAATACTACACTGAATAAAATTCAGTAACTGTCAGCAAATTCTTGCAAATGTATGTATGTATGTTGTGTGTCATGTTATGTTTCAACTCAACACCATATGATATAGATATTTTTGGGCAATTGCATATGAATATCTAGTCCGCCCTGATGTATATGTATCCTTAATACACATGTATATATATATGTATGTTATGTGTACAATATGTATGTATGTATGTATAAATGCGTATGTGTATGGTGTATGTCGTGTTCTCTCGCATGCATGTATGTATGTCGACACATGATACAAATGAGGTCGCCATGTCTGATCTCACTGATCGTGCTATGTTAATGCATTCATGTATGTATGTATTTAACACTTGACTCAACTGTATGTAGATACATTATTTGGTAAAGCATTAAATATGTATTGATGTATGTACTCACTTTCATGCATCTAATCGCACAGGTATATCCGCCCTGAAATGCATCCTTAACACACACACACACATTCTCGTTGCTAAGCGCCCACATCGTGTTCTCTCGCACATGCACATGTGTCGACACAGATACAAATCATCTCACTACTGTTAACTATGTTTTGATGTAGATATTTTGGGCAATTGATATGACTTTCATGTATAGGCAATTTTTATATATATGAAATTTTCTCGAATTTTCCTTTCACTAAATAGACAAATGTTTTTCCTTTTTTACCCTTTCCTCTTCTGTTTGTTTGATTATTTCTGTTATGAATGTGACAAGAAAAGAATGCCCTTGTTTTGTTTACGCATTATATCATTAAGTTATGATGTTGGTGTGTGCCTATGCAGTTTTGCATCCTCAAGACCCACTGTCTACTATTTTTGTCACCAGTTTCTAATTTTCGATGTCGGTTGAAATATCACAATATAGACAGGCAGTGGGTACATTTGCTGCAGCATTCCATTCTAAACACTCAGGTAAATTTGCTCTTTATCTACATCTATTCAAAGTTCGTTGTCTGTATGGCAGTTTTGTTTCAGATTTCACTTTTGTTACTGTGCTGTGGAGATCCTAATCCAGGACCTAAATGCACAACTGCTTTAAGGATAGTCCATCTAAATGGACGTATTCTTAAGGAGAAATTAGATATTTTAAGAGTTGAACTTGGATTTTATGATGTGATATGTCGAACCGAAACTTGGTGAACTTCCGATACAAATAACATTGATATAAAAATTGCAGTCTATGTATGTTGATGTCTGATTTAGACATAGTCGGACTTGAGGCGATATGGATACAGATTAAATGTAAAACAAGAAACTACGTCATTGGAACTGTTTGTCTCGCCGACAAGAGCTCCGAATATTGGAATTTGATCTATGAATCAATAGGTAACACAGCTGATCTTAATATGCAGACAATTATAACCGGTGATTTCAACATTGACGTTCTTCGTGGCAATAATCCAAAGATAGACTTTATACAAAGTTACTACGGCCTTCGACAAATAATTACGGATGCTACTAGAATAACCGCAGATTTATTTTTCTCTTCAGGGAACGTAGATAATATCACTGAAAACCTTACATCTTGTTATTGAATATCATGAATGAATATATTCTGAATCCAAATAAAACTGTAACAATTAGAACCAAAGATAACGAAATCCGATCCTTAATAAGAAAACGAAATCGTGTCCATAAGATTGCAAAACACAGAAACCTTCCCGATGATTGGACTAAGTTCAGAACACTTCGGTACAAAGTTATAGCAACAGTTACAAATGCAAAACGTGCTTTTGATGCACGAGTTGATGAATCTATAAATAACACTCATGGTACTAAAATGTGGTGGCGATTAAGTTAAGAAATATGTTAAAACAAATTCGATAAAATCGTCCTTTCCATCAATTGTTACTGTGTGACTTTGTGTGTAATAAAGATGAAGCGTCGTAAGATGTAAAAAAACTCACTCCTCGAATACATCATCTGTTGCGTTGATGGTGGCGGCAGTGAAGTCGAAGGATGAGTCCACGGGCGATGTAGGAGATGTAGGGTTCGGCGACGATGGTGGAGAGAGAGGCAGGGTCGGGGACAGAGGAGAGATCGCAGCTGTCGCACTGTCTTCTTACCTTCTTGAGGTTTATATACCATAAGTGTTTGTACAGGTAAACTGTGTCGGCGGATCAGACAAAATTAGTCTACTCATCATAATTTCCCGACTGTTTTCATTGTCGTGGGTGGATTAACAGGTTTCACTGTGTTGTTGTGAATGTGGATGAACAGGTTTCACTGAGTTGTTGTGAATGTTAATTAGGAAGTGGTGAGTTGTTTTGATTGCGAAATACTGTGTGTAGGAGATGTAAGTGTTTTCTTAAGAAGTGTTTTCTGCTACTTCTCTGCTGGTCTGCGTAGTTGAATGTTGAATGACGATACTTACCTAATACATATCTTTTAATTTTACACAACTGAATTTAATATATTAGCGGCCTATAGTTGTTCGGAATTTGTCGGACGTGGACCGCTGTGAAGCATATTTTATTATTTTATAATAAGCATATTTTCATCGCCGATCATACTTACCTGATATATTTTATTTATTTCACAAAATGCAAACACTTTTCGGTTACATTAAAGTAATAATATCGATTTTCTTCATCATTGAGGTTGAACTTTTCCCATTTTACTAACGTCTACGAATCCACCGCTCAATCCGCCTACGAATCCACCGGATTTCCACGTTCCGGAAACAGAGTTTGGGATCAAATCACAAAGATAGTTTGGGAATTGGTTATTGTACATTTTAAAGAAAAAAGTTAGTTTTTGACCGTACCTTCTATGTTGCAAGGACTGAAATTTAGTTTCAATATAAAGTTTGTTATGACTTGTGCCACGAACGACACCACATATAGTTCTCAGAGCATCAAGATGTAAGTTTTCTAATATACGCGATTGCTACAGTTAGCCCAAATGTGCGAGCAATAGTCAAATATT